ATCGAGGACCTTTATATTCGTTCATGCTGTCCCAATCAAGAGGTTCGCTGTAACTCAAGTGATAGGCCTAGAAGATTTAGTTGAAGATTAGAGCATTCTCTATTAAATGATAAAAAAAATATTTCAAACGGACTGTCATAGCAGCTTCGAGATTTGCAGCGATATGATCATAATCTGGTATAGAATTGTATTCAAGCGTATCAATATACGTTAAAATATTTGCCATATATTCTTCTGGAGTGTGTTTGAGTACCTTAAAAGGAGGAATAGCCTGTTTTGTATTTTACTTACAACCAGCATGCATATTTACACTTCAATGCATAAGCAAACGCGTGACGCGTTGCGCATACTTCACCAGAGCGCACCGTTCTCACAGCTATGCTCTCAACTGCACATAGGTCACGCTGTGCGTGGATGCGGCGCGTTTGGCGAGGGTAGCTCGCGCCGCGCCGTGCGTTAGTCTTGCGCCCACCAAAGCTTTCAGAGCGTCTCTTATCTGTAGGAAATTGGGGATTTTTTTAAGAGGAGTTTTAGCGAGGTACCTCCAGCGTTGGTCAAAGGTCTGCTACTACAGTACAGAAATCACTTATTTCACATTTAGAGCCATACATAACGGGTAGATCCTACACATGGAGTGGGAGAGGGGGCTTTTAATTATTTTCCTGTGTTTTTTTGACATTTCATTTTGAGCTTGGATTTTCCAGCTTTCTTCTTCCAAAAAAACATCTCGAAGCATGAAAGCTATTCTTTTTTCCATTCTCACCTTTTTCAAATTAGTGGGTATTCGCAGTTGCTGCTTGTAGAGTTTCACTTCAGCACGATCGGTCCCCTAAAACCTAATTTGAGAGTTACACCCTAGATTTGTAGCCAAATACAGCGCTTACCCTGCAATGTTTCCAAGGTAATTGACCTATCATCCACTCTAACACCATATACCACCACGCTTCTACATCGTCTTTTCGACATTGATCTTTCTGAAGATTGCGAAAGTGTTAGAAAATTCTAAAACTAAAGTGGAATTAATCGGATTCATGCATTTTTTAGTACAGAAAAGATTGACATAAGGGGATTAAAAATGAACAAACCATTTCCAGTGCTCCTATGCTGGCATATCTTGTGGTACCACGAAAAGCAGCCTTTTCCCTCATATAACGTAGATCTTTTTCTTCTGTTCTATACAAAATAACATTATTTTATCATATTTGGTTATCGGCGAAATAACCCTACCTATACTTCCGACATAACCCAAAGTCTAGTATGTAAATAGTGTGTGGATTTCCGTCTTCTTCTCGTCCTATGGCAAAATTTGGGGGTTTTATATCTCGATGTAAGTATCCACACTGCAAGTTTCATTTTTAGATTATTTCAAATAATTTTACGATGCCATAGTGATCTCACTATGTGAAGATCTCTTATCCCTGACAACGTTTGCTCTGCTGCTCGTATAGAAGTAGCCATTGAGAAACGCCTATCAGGATTCTCCATGCGAAGATCCCATAAGTTTTTTCCAACCTTAGTTTGGACTTATCTTCAGTGTGCTTTAAGAGCTACAAATTACTACGGAATTAGGACTTACTAATCTGATAACTACAAACATAAATCTGCCAGTTATTTTTCCCCGATCTTCATAGCTTATAAAATGTACCGAGTTAATTTTTCTCATTCCTTCGAGTACTCGAGCTTCATGTCTCAAAATCTAAATTGAGTATCTAAGTCTTGAAAAAGAGCGAAGCAAAAAGCTAAGACAAATAACAACAGATAGTAAAAACTTTCTTGATTGAGAGCATCTCTCTTCTGGTAGGGTTAGTCCTTCTTTATTCAATTCAAACTGAGCCTAACAAGTGGAAGATACCAAATGAACTCAAAATATAAGATGGAATGTATGTTAACAGATGCGCCTCGAAGCTAATCTCAAAACTTTCTAAACGTTGAGGGAAGTGTAGGTTTTTCCTCATGAGAATATGTGAGTTTTAGTTCTTGAGTAATTAGCTCGAATGCTCATAATCCAACCTATATAACTAACATAAGGGTCTAACAAATTCTTCTTTTACATGGGTATCATATCTCACCTTTTCGATGTTCTTTCAGTTTGACCATAAAACTTTCAACGAAGAATTCGGACAAGGAAAGCAGCATGATTCCAAACTTTTGCTTTACTTATCTTGTATTGAATCAAGGATACATGTAACTATGGTCAGATAAGAGCAGTTGCGTCCACTTTTATGCTTTAGGAAGCCCTTTTTGTAATAAAAAACTATCTACACTGATGCACTTAACGTGAGATATTGGTCACTCAGTAATGCAGCACGCAATTCTAATAAAGGTGTGGCTGATGTATTCGTGAAACCGCATGAAAAAAGTTCATAACGTTTCTGACAAACTCATTGGTCTAAGTGTTGAAGTGGTTTGAGGTTTCGACAACTTTATGGGAAGGTCTCTAAAAATGGCAAACTCATACAGTAATACCCATTATGGCTAGTATAGTGTAAAATAGAGTTATTTACCCCTCGTCCTGTTATTGCGCAGGAGAAATTGTTCAAAATTAGCTTTTCTGCGCCTTTCCCAGAAATCACATCGCGACAGTAGATTACAAGAGATCCATGAACGTCACCCTTAATTGATCGAGAGCTAGCTTGGTAGCACCATACTTAGGTGTGCGAAGAACTCTAAGCACGGTTTTTTAAAAGTGGTTTGCTATCTTCTGCGATGGTGCACTTTTCGTTCATTCCAATCTCTGACTTTGCTAAAAAAAA